AAGAATAAATGCAAGAATCCAGGAGTATGCTTGGTCCCAATGACACAGTCCCTTTACATAACCACCTAAAGGGGTCACCAAATTTCAGAGGTGGAACAAACCTCAAAAGAGTACTTGGTTCAGACCCCAGACACGAGAAAACAGCCCATATGAATTGACTTTGGGTCCCATCTGAAACAGTCTTACAGCCACCTAGGATGAGAGCACATCCAAAGCAAAGAAAGAGTGAGTGAGTATAAAGAACCCTGACTCAGGAAGAAATTAATCTTGGTGTTTTCATAGGCCAATCCACGGCTGAATTCCAATGCACTCACTTTACATAGCAACGACCTTCCATATCACAGATCCCACAGAATTCTCCACTGGGCAGGGGTGTGGTGTGAGGGAGGAGCATGGACCCTCTCTGCTCTCTGTCTTTAGACCACCCAAGGCTCTGTACATTTGTTTTTCTCATCATCCCGATGAAGACCATTGGGACAATCAGAGGCAGGCCCTGGAAACACGTGGCAAGGTCCCTGGCACACAGTGGGCAGTCAGGAGGTGGGTATTGCAATTATCATTCCTGCTTTCTCCTCCATAGGTTTTCGAGAGAAGAAACTGAATTCACAGCAGATGGCCACAAACTGATTTCTCCCTGAAAACCACAAGCAGGTGAACAGCCTGGGAAAGGTTCTGCCAGGGAGGGACTGACCAAATTAACCACAATTATAACCACTGGCATCTGACAGAAAATGAAAAAGGACAGTGACATGACACAGTTAACCCTTCTACCAGACCTTCTTGTCGGATATCAGAACTTTGCCTCTGTTTGAGCTGACCACTCTTAGGACTACTGCTCTTACCATCTCAAAATCATCCTCCAAACTTTCCATTTGCATTCTACTTTGTCACTTTCCCACCCGCTGCTAGAGCCATTTACTATTTGCCAAGAGTCAGATGACCTGGGCAGCCCTCCAAGTTATGCCTCACACACCAGACCTAGCCCTAATCACACTGGGCCCCCATCATCTTCTCCCCATTGTTTAAAAGGAATGCTCATATTTCGTGGACTATACAGGAAATCTGTGGAGATTAAAATTACTGTATGTGCGTCATCTTAAATATACCAATCTAGCATAAACATAGAAGCATTTAGATGCACTGAACAGGTGTTTAAGATGTAATTTGGGCACTGGTTAGAGACTGAGGGAAATTCGTTCCTAATCAAGAGAGAGAAAAGGAGAAGAGACATCTTCAAGACCTCAGCAGGTGATCTGCCCCTCACTCAAACCCACCCATTCCAAGCCACCCCAATACAAACATTCACAGCAATTTCCCCCAGACACCCACAGTAAAACTCCAAGTAAAAGGCAGCAGTTTAAAGTGAATCTTTTATAAAGAAACAGTCTAATGAGGCAGATTCACAGGTGTCTAGACATTGTAGGTTGAAAGTTTTATTAGCCTCCGGCCCACACACAAGTCCTCAGTCACAGGGGGACAGCTTCTTCCATGAGGGGGTTGGGGGTTCCCCAGTGTGACAATACCCTTTAAGCAAAGAAAAGAAAATTTTTCTAGAAACCCAAGGAACAAAATAAAAATTAAAATCAAGGCTCCAAATCATAGGGTTGAATACAATGAAAAAGCAATACTCTGGCTGCCAGCTTCTTCTACCCGGCTTGCACAGTGAGCATCTGGGCCTGGTTTCAATAGCAGCTTTGTAGCCCAGATGGCCAGCACCACCATTCTGGGGCTCCTTGCTCTAGAAGAAGCCTGAGTGTATGTGTAAGCTTCACCTTGAACTTGAAGCCCCCCTCCTCATGTCATTTGTAGATCCAACGACCATAATTTTCAATTCATGAGTCCAATGAAAATAGGCTTTATGCCTTTACCTTCTGTGATTCTACTTTAAGATGCCCAACCTAGCTTTCTAAAACTCGCATCTAAAAGTGCAAAAAGATTACTCTCTTATTCCTATGCATTAGAGAATCATTCTGCACATTCCTGCCCAAATACACACACACACATACCAACAAGGACCCCCTCCTCCCCAATATTCCCTTTTACATCAGCTCCCTAGGGATGCACCACAGCTTTGGGTTCTCTTCTTTCTCATTCTCTCTCATGCACGCACACACTGATTTGGACACAGGCTAACAGTCACCCACACCAGGTGGGAAGATGCACAGAATGCCTGTGGCCTGGGCAGTAAGTAACTGGGGAGAGGCTGGGGAGGGAGGGAGGAGTTCCTAGGAATGGAAACTGGGGACAGGTGGGAGAGGCATGGGGGAGGGGCTCAGCAGGTAGACCAGCCAGAGAAACTCCGGCATAAAAAATTTGGGGAAATGCTCTGATTTTATAAACAAGACAGTATTCACTTTACAGTTTTTTGTAACACAGGGTAAGGAAGCACAAAATTCTGGGTGGACCAACATTAAATAGGGACATAACAGATTGGCCTCAGCAGTAGAGTGGAGAAGACACTGGACGAAAATCAGGAGACATAATTCTGGTCCCAGGGATGTCTCCAGCTCACTGGGCCACCGTGGGCCTCACCTCACTTCACTGGAACATGACTTGCCCAACTATCACAGCAGGGGCACACCAGGCACCCTCTGAAGGCCCTGTCCTAGTGCTAACTTCTGAGGCCCTGGGAAGCCAAATAGTATTCATTCATTCATTCCATCTTCTACTTTTAAGAAATGTACCATATAATTTTATTTTATATAAATATCAATAGAATATTTTTACAGGATGCTATGTGCCATTTAGGACTAGATTAGATGACAAAAGAGAGGTAAACAAGTTTATAGGTAGGAAACAACTGCTTTCCCCCCCCCCAAAAAACAAAGTTAAAAGTGCTCCCATGGGCACTTTCTCCTCTCCCTGCCCTTCCCCTTGTCCCAGGTCCCCGGATAAGTAATGATAAGATGTCAGGGATCAGAGGTCCAGGCAGTGTATAATACCAGAAAGACAACAGGCCTTAGAGTCAAGTATTCATTAGCTAGTTAATATTTCCAAATTACTTAACCATACTTGGTGTGTTTCCTCACTTATAAATTGGGTATAAAGGATCAAATTAGAGTGGTGATTAGACTAAATCATACGTTTTAGTAAAACGCCTGTACAAAGCATCCAATTGTCAGTTACAAGCCCTTCTTTACACACTAGCCTTAGTCTGAAAACCATTACACACACATATTCCATACACACAAACTCATAAAACCATGCTCACCAGCTGGGACTGACATGGCATGGGTTAGGATTGTAGCCCTTTGGTGCTTTTATCCATTGATAAATATCAATTATTAATTGTTCCATACAACTGATCAATTATCAATTCTATCAACGGCTAGTAATGGCCTTTCCTTTGCCCTCCCCTAGACGCTACCACTAGAGCTACCACTGCTAAATCAGACTCTGTTAATGTGCCCTTTTCCATTTTTTCTAGTTACTCTTCAATACTTCCCGGGAGGAATCCTACGCTCCCATCTATTTACTAGACGATGGGGCGGGGTGTAGGGAATATAATCAGTTACGAAACATGTTTTTATCTAGCATAATGGGTTACTTTGGTCAAAAAAGACCAACATTTTTCAAACGATTAGTATCTGACCAAATGTGAGTCAACCAGCACACGTGATGAGCACGAAAAAGAATACCAGTATGCATTACATGTAGAAGGAGCCAGCACTATTTCATGAAACTTTGGTTTCAGTTACATAGGCACTGTACGTACGTGAGCACATTGGTTTGATGAAAAATTAAGCCACAGTCAAAAAAGTCTGAAAGCCATTGGCATGGGGCAAATGAACAGCCGGGAGTCAGAAAGGCCTGAGTTCTCCTCCCCATAAACTCTGTGGCTGTGAAAGGAGCTTCAGCTCAGCTCAGCTGAAGCTCAGCGAAACCACGCTTCCTGGGTCTTGCCAGCTGAGAATCCTTGGCCAAAGTTCCATTACCCTGCCCGGAAACCATCTTCTGCCACATGGGAACCCCCTCTCCAGATCTAACCTCTTTCCTCCCGCTCTACACCCGTCCCCCCAACCCAGTTTTTCAGAATGGGTTCCACCGCCAGGCTTGGAGGACCCAGGAGGGAACCCCTAGAAAGAAGCAAATATTTTCCTTCAGAATAGGCACTGCGCACTCCAGCAGCTCCACTAGAGAAGCGGACCACAGCCACACCTAGGTGCTCAAGCGCTGGAACCCCGACTCCCGCTAGGAACAGCGCCTTCCTCCAACACGCCCCTCAGCGACTCGCTGAGGATGTTCATTCTTTCACTTTTTATCCCTCACAGAATCTCCAACTATTAAAATGCACAGCTCTTTACTGGGTCGTTAGGCTGAAGGTTATGTGAGATGCGCCTTCCATTCGCCAAACATCCCAGAAAGAGAACCGACGCGAGGCAGCTTCTCCTCTAACTGGCCTTCAGCCGAACCCCTCAGCCCCATCGCTTGCGGCTCCCGGCATTAACTCCTCAAAATGACGCCGTCAGAGAAAGCGAACTTGGCGGCTAGCAAAGTTACCCAGGTGGGAGCGACGGGGAGCCAGGGCGGGCAAACGGGACGAGGAAGCTCGGGGCATTCTGTTTGAGGGGGCGTTCACCTGGGGGGCCTTCCTCCTCTCACCGTGAAAAACCTTCCAGCGGAGCAAGAAAACAAAAGCGGACTTGGCCACAAACCCGACCCTCCATCGCGAGAGAAGTGCGAAGCCGACGGCGCGGAGGGGGCGCGGACCCGGGAGCTGAGGGACGCGGCGGGACGCAGAGGAGAGGAGGGTCGAGGGTGCCGGAACAAAGCCCGCGGGGCCGCTCCGAGGAAGGGGGCTGAGGACGCGCCGCCCCCCGCCCTTCCCGGAGCCTGGGGGCACGGGCCCGGCGGGCAGCGGGCGCAGGAGTGGGGTGCCGGAGAGGGGTGCGGATGCGCGCGCAGCGAGCCCCTCCCCCGCGCCCCGAAGCCCGGGGGGCGGCCTGTCCCGCCCCCCGTTCCTCCTCACCCCCACCTCCCGGGCCCGGAGCTGCTCTCACCCGAGCGGGGGTCGAAGGTGACCACGAACACGGCCACCACCTGGTCCTCCTCCACGTCGCCCAGCTCCAGGCGCCCGGGCTGTAGCAGCACCTCGGGGGGAGCCGGCTCCTCAGGTTCCCGCCTCCTGCGCGGTTCCGCGGCCGCCCGGGCGCCCCCGCCGCCGCCGCCCCGGCCCCGTCCTCCCGCCTGCGGCTGCGGGGCCTGCGGCAGGGAGACCGCGGGGCCCTCGGCCCAGCGCAGCAGCGGCGCCGCGTCTCCCTGCTCCACCATGGCGAAGCGAGGAGGAGCCGCGGGCGGGCGGAGCGGCGGGGCGGGGCGGGGCAGGCTGCGGGAACTCCCCTCACGCGGCCGCGCCCACCGGCCGCCCTCCCGCACCGCCCGGGGGCCCACCTGCCGCTGCGCCCGGCCCCACTCCCACGGCCCCACTCCCACGGTGCTCCAGCGGGCGCCTTTCCCACCCAGCCGGAGAAGGCGGCCGCGGAACAGGCTTCGGGAACCGCGCGCCTGTTTGCAGACCTCACGTGTGCATCTACGTGTCTGGGGATGTGTGATGCCAGGATGCGCATCCTTGAGTCCTACCTGTGCGTGGGTTGGGGTGCCTTCTCACCTAGGGTTCCATGGTGTGACTGTCCCACTGTGTTTATGTCACCATTATTTTTTGATGTCTCCTAGTCCTATGGACGATGACATATGCATTACATAATCCTGAATGTATGACAAAAGCTGCTTCTAAGCAGTAAGTGAAGCAGAGGAGCCCTGGTTCCCGGGTGTTTGGAATGTGTACATAAATGAAGAATGAAAAGGCCACAGGGTTAGGGTGGAAATGCTACTTTTCTGTTTATAATGCAGACTGAGATGAAAATTATGAGTTTATTTCCTGGTACATACACAGCTTGCGGGTATTAAATTAGGAAGTGCTGGGGTGATTGGGGAGGAGGGATATTCCCACAAAGGATCAGGAAAAGGAAGTCCCTCAGGGGAGAAAGAGGAAAGTAAGCACTAAAGCTGATGGCATTGGAAATCGATTAGGGGTTTTCTATGACTCCCTGATTTTACATTTGAAAATATTTAATAATAAAATTCTGAATGTCTCAATCCTTGGGGTAAATCTGATAGCTAAGTAACTTCAGAGGAGGTGTGTATAAGAAATAGGAATAGCTATTAAAATAAGAAAGAAGGAGGTGGCAAGAGAGAGTTGTTCAGATAAACAATTCATCCAAGGTTCCAGGAAGGCCCCACAGTTTGTCTATTCTCAGAAGGACCCAATGAATTTATGTGTTAGGTGTTACTTCAGGGGGTGTTTCTGAAGATCCGTTTGCTACATGCCAGATAATATGATTTAACCCCATCCAAGGAGATAATCAATGGCTGCCCAAGGCTGCCACTTCCAGTCTGAAATCTGTGATATAACAACAAAGAATGTATTTATTTATGCAGCATTTTACCCTAAAGGATAGGGACTGTTTTCATCATTTATATATTTAGTTTAACCTCTCCCACACCTTCGAAGGCAAGTAAGTTACCATCCAAAACTTTCTTCCTGGAGTGTGTAGACAGTCATGAGATGGGTGGGGAGCCCCAGGCACCACCCAGCCAGGGCCAGGGCACTATCCAACTCATTCAGGGCACACCAGACTGCGTTATATTCAAATGACTCCAGGCTGGATACCAAAGCCCACTACTTTGGAAGACCAGAGCACAGCCAAAGCTTCTGAGATTCAGGCATTCAAAATTTTATTTGTAAATATAAAATGGAGGTTCACAGAAAATCCTTAATGAATTTCCAAAGCCATCAGCTTTAGAGCTGACAGACTTGTCTTTCTCCTAACAGGGATTTCCTTTTTCTGATCTCTTGTGGGAATAGCCACCCCCCACACCCAGCACCTCCTAGTTTAATGCACATACGCTGTATATATACCAGGAAGTAAACCCACAATTTTCCTCCCAGTTTGCCATATAAATAGAAGAGCTAAATTTCCAAATCCTAGTCTTCATTTATGTGTGCATACTAGCTTGTCAGCCATGATGTCTGTCTTTCTATTTCTAGTGCCTTCAGTAATAGGTGCTCAACAAATATTTATCAACTAAATAAATGAATGAAAGGAGAGACTTAACCTCCGTACAACAGGCCTTCTTTATCAGGCTTTATCTAGTATCTTGCACATAGTAGGTGCTAAAAATGTTAATGAGGGTGATGACACCCCTCTTAACACACACATTCAGTCTGATGGAGGCGCTATACCTAACCACAGTAATCTTTCCTGTGAATATAGATTTTCACAAGATGATCTTAAGGGTACTCTTTGAATTTAGCTATTAGAACAGCTCTGCTGGGGAACAAGTGTGGAGGACGAAAAGGTGGGAAGAAAAAATCATATTCAGAGACCCTAGGTTGATACGGTATTTCAAAATGAGTTTACCTAGAAAGCCATCTATTTTACTTTCCCAAATACTGAATATATCTACATTATATCAAATACAAAAAAAATTTATGATCTATAATCTCACCACTGAGTTGGCCACTATTAAGATTTTCTTATCCTATTTCACCCATTCTAGGATGCAAAATTTTTGACTTTTGAACATTGCTGTGGTGACTCACAATTGCTGCTGGTCCCACTGAGGTCTAGTTCTCAGATTTTTATTTGCTTTTCTCAGCCATCTGGAAGCACCACCAATCTGAGACTGCTCTGAGCTAAATTCTCTACTGAGGTTCTTTCGACCAAACTGGTAGTGTGAATTCAAAATGCATACTAGCTTCAGCATTGGCTTGTAGTTCAAGTTCTCAGACAAGGGTTCTTTTTCTCCTTCCACCTAGTGACAAGGTTGAGGCAAGAAAGTTTCCTTGCCTGGCCCTCTCTGTGTAGGAGGTTTATTTGCTGCAGTTTTATATGGGGATTCCTATTAGACTCCTCATCTTGGGCATTTTTTATTCGGAGTGGAATGTAAATATAATGGTATAGTTGGCACTCTGTATTCACAGGTTTCTGCATTCACAGATTCGACCAATCACAGGTTAAAAATATTTGACAAAAATTTTCCAGAAAATGTTACACTGTTGCTGACATGTACTATGTAGTTAGGCCTACAAAGGTTAAGTCAGTACTGAACGTGTAGACTTTTTTCTTGTCATTATTCCATAAACAATACAGTATAACACCTATTTACATAGCATTTACATTGTATTAGGTATTATAAGTAATCTGGGGATGATTTAAAGTATACTGGAGGATGTACATAGGTTATATGCAAATACTACACCATTTTATATCAGGTACTTGAGCATCCACAGATTTTGGTGTCCACCGGGGTCCTGGAACCAATCTCCTGCAGATACCAAGGATGATTGTATATCTTAAAATAGATGATATATTAGATGTTTCTCTTTTCAGTGTTTACATGTTGAAATTATACTCCACATCAATTTTGTATTCTTTTTTCCATTAACATCAGAATAGGAACATTTTGCCATCCTATTAGAAACTTTTTATATGCCATTCTTAATGGTTTCCATTGTATGTATGTTGATAATTTACTTAACCATCTCTCAGTGTTGGATTGTCAAGCTTTTCCCTTTTTTGTTGTGCCTAAAGTTTTGACCAAATTTCATTCTTATTAAGCCCTATGATACTAAGCCCTGCACATGGCACTGGGATAGTCAGGAAGGAGACATCCCTTCTCGTCAAGCTCACAGCCTGGCAGGGAAGGCAGCTATTAGGCAAGAAATGACATATAGAATGAGGGGTGACAGGCAGAGCAAATGCTGTCAGTCATGCAGGCTGCTGACTTATGATAGATTGCTGGGTTAAAGTGCCACACATTTTTAAGTTTCTCTTGATTGTGCTGCCAAAAGTACATATGAATATCAATTTCATTTCACCCTTGTCTAAATTAGGTATTGCCACTTAAAATTATTTTTGCCAATTTGCCAGATGAAAATAGCATTTTGTTTTATGTTTTGTAATTTAACCTAATCATGTTTTCAAAATATATGCTGGCAATTTGTGGTTCCTCTTCGGTGCACTGTCCATGATGCCCTTGGTTCACCTGTCCTCTGAGGGCTTCATGATCTTTTTATGAATTTGCGTGTGTTCTTTATCCATAAGCATAATACTTGTTAATATTATTCCCAATTTATTATATGTTTTCAATGCCATTATTTGCTACATAAATTTTATGTAGTCAAACCTATCCATTCTTTTTGTGACATTTTATGTTGCTTTGATATTTAGAAAGTTGGTCCTCACCCAGAAATTTGGTTAACATTCACTTTTATTTTCTTCTGGTTATTTATAAATTGCTTTCCCACATTTGATTTCTAATCTATTCAATGATTACACTGATATGTGGTATGAAGTGAGATTCTCAAAACTGTTCATTGAATAGTTAATCAATAATTGCTACACCACTTATTGAATCATTCTTTCACTTCCTATGATTGTAATTCTCCTTTAAAGTACACTGTTAAATTAGTGGTATTTACCAATCTATGTATCCATTGCTAATTACCTGTTTATTCTTATACCAGTACCACTAATCTTGTTACATATATTTTATTTTATTTATTTAATTTTTGAGAGACAGGGTCTTACTCTGTCACCCAGGCTGGAGTACAGTGGCACGATCATAGCTCACTGCATTCTCCATTTCCTAGGCTCAAATGATCCTCCTGGCTCAGCCTCCCAAGTAGCTAGGAGTACAGGCATGTACCACCACAATTGGCTAATTTATTTTATTTTATTTTGCTGTAGAAACGGGTCTTCCTATGTTGCCCAGGTTACTCTTGAACCTCTGACCTGAAGTGATCCTTCTGTTGCAGCCTCCCAAAGTACTGGGATTACAGACGTGAGCCACCAGCCTATACATATATTTTAAATTTTTATTTCTAGGAAAGGTAGTCTTCTCTCTTTACTCTCTTTTAAAAAAGATATTCAGCTGTTCTTTGACTATTATTTTTCCATCTGAACTTTAAAGCATTTTATCCAGTTTCAAAAAAATGTGAGATTTTAAAATTCAAATTGTATGAAAAATATTTATTTACTGGAAATTAAGAATGTGAATGGATGAGGTGAAGAAAATCTTCCTGGTGGCCTAAGGGATATCTCCATCCTTATCTGTCCTGTGAACTGAAGTTCCACAGTCAGATACTGAGAGGACCCAAAGCCCAGGGCATCCAGAGATATCCTGGGGTACCTGACTGTGGTATCTCAGGTATCACACTCCCTCCTAACATCTATTTTATACATTGTACCGCCCTAGCTATCACGTCA